TTGCCTTCATGTACTTCATTTTGTTTGCTTTGTAGCTTTATTTTTTAAAGTGCAAAGTGCTTATAGATATTTGTGGTATACAGTGTGGCATCTAATTACAATGTGCAATGATCAGATCAGTTGTAAGTGGCATACTGATCTTCTCCAGTGTATTGTGTCTTTGTCTTCAGAACATCCAAAGTCTCCGTAGCAGCTACCTTGAAGCTTCCACTCAATTTTTGTTAACCATAGTTATACCAGTGTGTTATAAGACATTAGATTTTATTTCTCTTATCTAGCTTTACCTCTTACCCAATAGGGAAATTCTTATTCTTCCATTCTTACCTGCCCTTCTTACCTATTCTCCACATTTAACCATAAGCAATCACTATTCTTGCCTTTTTGATCTTTTCCAATTATTCCACCACCTACTTTAATTCACCCTGAAGCTTTAAAAAAATGTTATGTTCAACCAATTATTGTCTTTCAATAATGTTATCTTACCCCTCAGGCCTTATTTTCAGAGATTTCACATCTCTGAAAATAGCCGTGGTTAAGGACATCTATAATCTCCATGTTGGAAATTTAAGGGAGACTTCTCAGTTTTCATCTTGGTTCAGTTCTTTCCACATTTTGCACAGTTAGTGATGCCTACTTTTTTATATTGTATTGGACATGAAACTCAGGACCTTTGAACGAGCTACTTCTCAGCTCTTTTACTTTTTATTTGGAGATAGGGTCTTGTTAAGTCACTAAGTTGTCCAGGCTCAGCTCCAAATTGTGATCCTCCTACCTCAGCCTCTCAGAATGCTTGCTGGTTTTATAGGTATGCCCCACCCCATCTGACTCCACATCTCCTTAAAAATACTTACTCTGAGTTTCTTTAATACTATACTTTCCTGGCTTTCTTTTTCTGTTCTAGCCACTCCTTCTCAGTTTCTTTCCCAATTTATTCCTCTGCACACCCTTAAATATCAAAGTTTTTTCTTCTTTCTGCAGTCTTTCCCTCAGTTATCATTTGTTCCCATGATTTAATGTCATCCAAATAATATATACAAGTTGCTATCACTCATTTATAGCTCTCTTTTGAGGGATAGGTTTTTGGATCCACTGCCTCCATGACATCTTCCCCTGAGTATCTTTCATGTATCTAAAACTTAAAATGTACAACATTTTACACTTGAATTCCCATTCTCAGTCTACTAATATTTAACATCCTGTCTTTCTCATGTGCTATATCTAATCCAAAAATTCCCGCTGACCTTCTTTCTCCAAATTCTTCATTCATTCCAACCTTCACTATTAATTCCTTAGAATTGCTCATGATCGTATCTTCTGGACACTACAATGTGCTCCTAACCTATGTCCCCACCAGCTTCCTTCTTTGGTACTTCATGACTTCTGCCTCAGATTCTGCCGGCCTTTTCTTTTGTAATGCAAAGAAAATATTCCTTCCATTGCTTAAAATATTTTAGTTGTTTCCCCTAAAACTCACAAGAGGATCTGGAAAATAAAAAAAAAAGTAAAATAACTTCTCAAATCCTTAGTATAATTAACAAATCCTGTTGAAATAGCTGATCTAATTGTGATTCTCTCCCATTCTTAGCCCAACTCAAGGAATATATAATGGCTTTTCTTCAAATTCTTTCCTGTTTACAGACCTTTGTTCCTGCTGTCATCTGCCAAAAATGTCATTATTCCTCATCTTTATCCAGATAATTTCTATCTTCTCTAACTCTCAATTTAAATATCCTTTATTCAAGGAGACTTTTCTAGATTCTCAGTCCTCTAGTATACTCACAGAGCACTTATCTACTTATTTGTGGCACTTACTATTATTTGTAATCCTAGTTTTATGTGATGTTTATTTTATGCTGTCTCCTTGCATGTTGTAAGCCTTATGGATGAACCAGCCATTATTATGTTACTTTCCTTACATCAGTGTATAACAGGACATAGCTCAGTGCCTAACAGATGTTAAATATTTATTAAGTACTTGTTGAGCAAAAGGTCTTGATTTCAATTCTCTTCTCAACAGATTCCCCTAATTTCAATACCCATTTTTCACTTCTCTTTTTTTTTCTTTCCTCCTCCTTTTTCCCTTTCTGCTTTTTTTTATAACAAACATACACTTGCCAGTTAAATATGAAACTTCCTACCTACTTGTCTAAAGATCAGTTTTATTAAAAATGAGACAAATAGTTTAATTCAAATACGGACATATGTATACTAAATAGTCGATTAGTATTTTCCTTCATTTGACTATCATTTTTGAAAATTGCCTTGGATTATGTAAACCTCAATGATTTGGAAGATATTCATGAATGAGTAAGATATATATTTCAAAATATTCAGGGATGACTTTTTAAATTATGTATTTTTTATTAGTGAGTGTTTGCAGGATTTAATGATTACATTTATCATGGGGAATTTGTACATGTATATAACACATCTTAATTCTTTTTTTTTTTTTTTTTTTTTTTTTTTTTTTGGTACTGGGAATTAAACTCAGGGCCTGATACTTACCAGGCAGGTGCTGCACCACTGAGCTACATCCCCGGCCCTTGTTAATTCTTTTTTCTTCCCTTCCCTTCCCATCTCTACCTGCTCCCTCCAACTCTTGATCCCCTTCCTATTTGAAAAAGGTCTATTTTCACTTTTTGTTTAATTGTTTTTTTAAAACATTCCTTCTTCCCTTCCTTTTTTGAAATACTGATTCAATCATTAATTCAATTATTTAATTATTGAGCTCCTTGTGTGTATTATGCACTTTTATAATTTAAATCCTGGATGCCCCACTTAGTAGCTGGGTTATACTAATGAATTAATTATCCATTCCTCAATTCCCTTATCTCCTAAAATGAATAAAAATAGTAGCTAGCAAGAAACTTGTGAAATGCAAATTAGTTATTCCATGCAAAAGTGACATGCATTTAATAAACTCCATGTAAATATTACCTATTTTTTGATAAAGAATCTCTCTATATTGCACACTGGTATTATTTTAATATCATTAATCATTTTTCAGGCATTTTGTTACACAAATAAAGTTTATATTTTATATATCTTGTGCAGCACTACAGGGAAAACCAGCCTTTTGACTAAGTCTGGCCTCTGCTACCAATTGTTGTAAATAAAGTTTTATTGGAACACTGCTTCCCTGTTGCTTCCGTGTCATGTCCAGCTGCTTTTGTGCTGCACAGACAAAACTGAGTTCTTGTTACAGAGATTATGTGTGATGTAGAGCAAAAAAATTTACTATTTCCTCTTCATGGAAAAAGTTTTTGACCCTTGTACTATAGATAGTCACAGGTTTTTTTCAGGAGATATCTTTGGTTGTGGAAATTCCTTTGCATTTAGGGAGATCTAGGTTAGCACTTTAACTTTTGTATTAAACTACCATCTCTTTGCATAGTTTTGACATGTGTCACTTATTATTCCTAAACATCAGTTTTCTTGATTCCAAAGTGGCTCAGCTTCCATCCCAATGTGTTCTTACAGGATTAAGTGATAAAATGTATATAAACTACCTGGAAATTTTGGTGATAAGATTTTTCTTTGTTCCTTTTGGAACGTGTAGAGTTTATTTTAAATTGCTATTATAAGCATTAATATTTATTAGAATTGTACTGCAACATGAAGCCCCTTTAGATCAGAAGTTAGGGCAATCATGGCCTATAATCAGATTCAGTAGAAGGAAAATAGATTTTGATTGCAGTAATGTAAAGAAAAGATGTTGAGTTCAACTTTTTCACTTTTTATTCTAGAGCTGTTAGTATTTTACTGTCTTGGTCTTGGTTTAAACATGTCATAGATAAACTATAGGTTTAAACTCTTTGTATGCTAATGATTTTCCATTTCTAATTGTGTTTCCAAGGTGCTTCTAGAGCAAAAATCAACTGAAAATATTGTGCAAATTAAATTACTTAGCAGAGTAGTCTTGCTCTCTAAAAGGGAAATAATTCGTTGTTTTTTTAAGGTGCTTCCTTAATAATAGCTTAAAAACAATAAATCTATGAAGATTTGTTTTTTCACAGTAGTTAACCAGTCAGGAATGTTGCCTACAAAATCGCATTTAAAAAATGACCTTTTAAAGATGCCATATAAAATTAAATTTTAATGAGTGATAATAAATGGTGATACTTTTCACAGGAGGGAACACAAAGCTTGCCTGGAGCCCTTGCTACATGCCATCTACTTTAACGCTCTATTATTGTGTCTTCCCTTTCATTATTTTCAAGAGAAGATAATGGGAATGCAGCAACTTTGAAGAACCCAATGTTACCCCTAGTAAAGGCATCTTCATTGCTGGATAATTCGACAGATGTACCTCCATTGCTTTAGTGATGGTTCTTCAGCGGTATACTGCTTTTCCCCCACACAATAACAGTGAAAGATATTGAACTTTTTTTTTATTATATGGCTGCTTGAAAAATGAATATTCACAATTAGGCTCAAAAAAGCGTTTGTACCAGATGAATATTTTACTACCATTCTGTGGCTGCCGTGGAAAGGTCTTCACACTGGTCAGATTTTTGGTGGAAAGCATTCAACAGTCAGTCACCTTGAGTCTAGAAGGAAAAAAACATAAAGAGAATGGATAAAAGACTTTCACTGAGCCTGACACCTGCAAACAGCATGACGGCTTCCTTACCAAAATGGGAATGAATGGGCACCAAAGCTACTTAGTATCATGAGACCTTTATTAACTTCTGGTCCACTCAAGCTCATTGTCTCATTTATTAAATGCAAGCAATTTGTCACAAATGGGCAATAATCATGGCAAATCTAATAATTTACTTTTTTCAGTTTAAATTTCAAAAAAATTGTGGATTCCTCCTTTTTATGATGACTCTTTCTCTACTCCTTTTGGTCTGAGGATCCTATTAGCACAGAGCTGAGCAATTCAGTTTCATCAGAAATAATTTATGCCTCCTTTTTTTAAACATAACTACTGAAAGACTGTAAAGATTAGAAATCCGTTTGAACCCTTTCATTTGATGTTTTTTGTCCTTGTACAGAGCTTCCGGTGTTAATGTAGAACAACACTTCCCTTCTGAAAGTCCAGAGCCAGAGCCCCTAAAAAGAACACTGCCCAGGACTGTAAAGGATATGAAAAAGGAACCACATCACCATGAGAGTGTGGAGGGGGAACACTTACTCCCTGCAAAGCTGTTTTCAAGACAGGCTACTTGTGTCATGTAGGGTGGAAAGGTGACTAAACTACTCCCCCTCCTTATCAAAATAAATTAGAAAACCGCAATTCCCAAGAGAGGGGTGGTGAATTCTCATAACACTAAGGTTGTGGGGGTAGAAATGACACCTCTAATGACTGAGGATTGTTAGTACCACTTTGGTAACAAGCTACTATGAATGAAAAGTCTAATTTCCTCAGAATCATGTGCTTCATATTCATGCATTTTTGTCTTAACTATAGTTGTGTAGCTTCCATTGTTACTCCCCATCAGTATATGACAGAAACAGATGTTGGTGCCAACTTCTTATCTTTCTGCTCTTTTAGTGTCTGTTTTGCCGAGTGGCTAAAGAGCTAGGTGTCTTTCCCAGCCCTAACTCTTTAGGCTGATAGCATTGAGGCCCCATGAGGGTGCTCAACTTTGAGATAAATAAAATTACAGTTAGATGAAGGGTGAGTCTCTGGGTAACAAACTGCAGTTTTTCCTTATTTCTAAGACTTCTAGGAAATTTCACTAGATATTGAAAAAATTTTCTCTGATTTATTAATTTTTAAAAGTATTCAAAATAGAGTCCACTTTCTATGCTTAAGCTCACTCTTCTTTGCATCATGCTCAGCTCTTCCTCCTTTATAGCCATGCCCCCTTTCCTTAATTTCAGAAGATAAGAATACACATTCAATGTGTGAAATCCCTAGTGTTCATTTGCACAGTTCATACTGAATTTGGCTACCCGATTGTTTCTTCTAACTTCAGATAGACATATTTAGGGATGAGATAATTAAAGAAATAAGAAAAAAATGTAAGGAGGATTGGCCCAAGTAAAAAAAGTAAAGAGAAAATTAGTTCTTGTGCTCTCTTTTCTAATATATTTAAAGAATTTTTAAACACCAACATAGATAATATGGATCCAAATGCTACATTTAACTCAAAATCTAAAGACAGATGGGTTCTAAGGAAAAAGAGAGCAGTCTAGGTTTCTTGAACAGCTGTGTCCTGATCTACTTTGGTCTACAACTGGTAAAGTAGATGGATAATGATAGCAAACCTTACAAAAATTTCCAGTAACTTGTCAAAGATGAAAGAGGAAGAAAGAAAAGAGAAAGAGAAAAGAAGAAGCTGCCATTCAGTAGCTAATTTGAATTTCATTCTAGATTAAATTATATAACTTGTAGGGACCCAAACAATAAGTGCTTCTTGCTTTCTCTTTCTTTAGAAATGAGTGAATGAAGGCAGAAGCGCCCAGAAAGAAGGTCAGGGTAAGTCACATCATATTTATTTCTTCCTTTTGAAGGATGTGGAATACATTGTGTGAAACTTGTTCAGATGATCTCAGGGGCTTGTGCCTCCGATAAATTAGACAAATTGCGTCTTTCAAGGGGGAAAATGAAATGCTTTCTTTAGCTGTGCTGCACAAAACTGCCTCACTCGTCCCTGACATTTGAAGATCTGTGTTTTCTGTGTGCCAGCCACCACAGTTTGATATTGTTTGAGTGGATCATGGCCAAAGAGGGAAGAGACACTCTGGGTGAATTCCTTTCTCATAATTGTGAGTCACCTTTCTATGCAGATGTTATTATGTTTAATCCACTATGATAAAGGTGTTACTTGATGCCACATGTTAGTATCAGCCAGGCATCTGAATGTGACCCATATTTAAGCTGAGATCCAAAACATAAAGTATAGCTGATTATAAGGTAATTCTGTTTCTACATCACTTAGTTTCTGTTTTTCTATGAAGTTTCAATGTGTTAGACTCTATTAAAAGATAAAAGACTTCTCGGAGCCAATCATGTAAGTAAAAAGACCTGTAGAGTTTTGACTGATGACTGAACTTACGGAGTACAGTAAGACCAGGGAAAAGAAGGAAAGAAGAGAAGAAAGGAGAGTGGGAAGAAGAGGAAGGAGAGGAGGGAATCAGCAACAAAGGGAGGAAGGAGAAGGAAAGAGCATAGTTGTATTACACATTTTTTTCGTTTTATAGAATTTAAATTTGTGCAGTATGGAAGTCTATATGCTGAAATAACAAAATACCAAGAACTGGGTACCTTACATGCCACAGAAATGCATTTGTCACTGTTTTGGAAGCTGGAAAGCCCAAGTGAAATTGTCAGCAGATCCCGTGTCTGGTGCGGGCTCCCCTCTATGGAGACAGCGGCTTTCCTGTGTCTTCCCCATGCTGAGGTGTGCAGGGATGCCTCTACGGTGCTACGCTCATTCAGTAGGACTCTGCTTTCCTAAATAAATTGTCTCCCCAAAGCACCACCTCTAACCCATCACACTGGGGATTAGGTCAACAAATGAATTTGAAGGAGGGAGTATAAACATTTAATCTATCACCTATAGTTTGAATTCTTATGAACGTAAAAATAGTATTTGTTTACCTTTGATTATCTGTGCCTTAGTGAATCTTACCAGGTCACCACTTAGTGGAAGACTGGAAGTTTGGGGCAAAAAAGTTTGTGTGAAATATAGGATTTTCAACCTTCCATTATCTTCAAACAACTTAGCGTTCTACATGACCTTTTGCATTTTGGGTTATTACCTAAAAAAATTGCTTCCAGAGAGAGAAGTAATACGGCAGTATGTTAATATTTTCTAAATCTAGCTGGTGGGTACATGGGTGTCTGTTATATCACTTATTCTACTTTATTTCTATTTTTGAACAATTAATCAGTTTTTCAAAAATATTTTATGAAATACCCTATATACTTATGTGTTTGAGCTGCATCACTGTTTCATGACACCAAGAAATAAGTTGAGTAAAATTAACAGTGCTTTATCTAGTGGATTATTTTCATTGTATAAGCATTTTAGTGGATGTGAGAATGGTAGGAATGCTTCATTGTTATAGTCACTGTCTAATACAGTGATGGTGCACCTTTTAGAGCTTTTAATGATACAAACAGCCAATGTGGCACATGTGCCATAGGTTTGCTCCCATTGGTGTAAATCAAACAATCTGAGAAATGCATTTGTGCTACACCTTCTCCAATTTCTGTTGAATTCTTCTCTCAAACAATAATTTTTAGGTAGGCAGATGAGCAATCAGAAAAGTTCTCTATTTCCGAGACTTTTTCCAAGTTGGGACCATATGTCTGAGGTTATCTCAGTGCTATATATTTAGACTACCAGAAGGTAGTTTGCAGGAACTACTCCAGGAAATAACTGCTTCACGTCTCAGGCCTTTGCGGAGAAGAAAGCTGAACACACAATCTAGAGAATGCTGCCCCACTGCTGACAATGCCAAGACCCCCTTGTGCTTCCTGGAATATGGACATGATATGTCAAACACCATCGTGGAATGTCAAATGGGAGCCACACCTTAGTAAGGGGGAAACTGAATATTGTGTCACTGATAAGTTGAACAAATAACTAATTTATACACTGTTTTCTTTGGTTTAATGAAAGAGTAACCTTTCACCTAATACATATGGTAGTGTTATGGGCTTCCTATATTAATCTGGCTGAAAGACCCCTTTTTTTAATCAAAGAGATTTTTTACCTGAACACTTAGATTTGGAGCTTGTCTTGCAAGAAATGAGTAATTCTAGCAACATTGAGTACATGTTTTCAGGTAGCCCAAATACTGCAAAGGCAAGGTGCACCAAATGCATCTGAAAATGGCAGGAGTTTCCAGGTTACCACAGTCCCCACCATCTTTAATGTCTTCTCCTTGCCTGAGTCCACTCACTTCACTTACCCTATCTGGGACCCTGGGATAAAGAACTGTGCACAATGTAAGACTGCCAGTTTGCTCTCTTTCAGATAAAACCTGCCCCTTGCACTCCAGTAAACATTGTTATGATTCAAAATGCAATTCCCCATTCTCTGAAATACCAGAGTTTTCAATGAGATTTCTGGAAATTCCTAATGGCATCTAGGTTTTCTCGAGGTATCGTGTCAGTTCTTTGCATGTTGAAACAGACATTCATACCAGTCACATAAGCATAGTCCTCTCCACAACAGTCTTGATAAGGTATGAGGAACTTATCTGTAAGCATTTATTTGTAATTATACTTGAAAGTTCTTCCTTATCTTTCTTGATACCCCAACCATAGAAGTTTCTTATTCTCAGTATATTCTGTCTCTCTGAACTTCTTCTTTTTTTCTTCTTTTCTTACCTGCTTTTCCCCTCTGTTAAAGAAACATATAGACACAGTTTGCCCATACAGAATACGTCTTCTGTCCTCTTGCAATGCCCCTGGCGATCTCAGAAAATCATTGTCTGTTTCCAAATATTGTCATGAGATTTAAGAAGGGTTTGACTATCTGCTGAAGGAACCCACCTATGGAGGGATCTAAGTTGGTAAAGTTGTTCAAACAGTGCATGACCACATGCTGGAAGCCACAAATGACTCCTTTTTGCCCATGCTATTTGTTGAGAGGAAAATCACAGGACAGCTGAGGGAGATGTATGTCCTAAAAGAATGTTATGTAAGACAGTTTGAAGCCTGAGATGTTAAGACATGAATGGTAGACTTAAATATTTTAGCTTGCAACATTTTGATAATGAAATTTCTTATTCTGTCTTTGAAGCAATGACTGAATTTCTTAATCCCTTATCTCTTAAAAATGTCCAGTTTTGCCAGGAGTAGAGAGAGACAGGCTCTGTATATGATGACATCCATGTGTGGCCAAGAAATTTTATATCGGCAGATTTTGGCAAGATCGTTTGTCTGATTTAGCTAAAAGCACCTGGACTCTGTCATTTTGAAGCCTAGCATGATGTGAGTCTTGCCAACTTAAACCCATTTCAATCTCCACAGTGTTCTTCTAGGAGCTAAGGTAATGAAATATGCTCCATCTGAGTCTCCCTACACAACAAAGACAATCTAGCCAGATTGTAAATTAAGTAGTACATTATAAATTATGTAGCATAAAGTGCCAAGATGAGGTATGACCATCACAAGTAATTAACCTGGAGTAAACACTAAGAATGTCTATAGTCTTAATTCAGAAGCTTTAGGAGGCAGAGAAGAGAGAATTTTTTAAACAGTATTTTTATGGTTGAAATGAATGTGATAAACCTGGCAATTTACATTTGAATATCTAATGGCATTTAAATAATAGTTTGCTAGAATCTCAACATTCTTCGGGTTTTACTCATGTTCTGATTTAAATGCTAGTATAAAATATCCAAAAAATTATATATAATAGGTGACTTTTTTATGTGCCATAACAAATTAAGGAGTGAAGATGGGGATTATACTATAAATCTACAAATCTTCTAGAAAATTGATTAACATTAACACAACCTGGGCAGTTAGAAATTTCGTCAAAGCACATGTTAATATTTTCTTTCATTTGATTTCTTTTCTTTCTTTCCACTCAATTTCCTCAATTTCCCTCAATTCCATGATTGATACTCATTCTCTTTTGAAAAAACTAATACAGCTTGATGATATATACTAATTTTTTTCTTCCTATTCTTTGATTCTAAGGTAGCTGTCTCCTATAGGGTTTTTCTTTTTCTGTGCCTAAATGATGTTTTGTTGGAATTTGGACACATGTGGTGTGCTGTTGTTTTATGCTTAGGTGGTATGAATGCATTGCTGACTTCTTAATGATAAAATTAGAAATTATTTTTAAATATTACAATGTTTGGTCATGTTTCTAGAAGGAAATTCCTTGTAATTTTTTGGCCCATTTATACTATCTTATAATGCAATATATGTAAATCGAGAGTCTGACAGCTTGTCAGATAATGTTAGAGTTTGATTAGTTTACTTGGATTCATTGTCTTACCTTGTAAATTACTATTGCAAAAATTGATAACCCTCAGGTGCTTGATTAAGAAAAATCATTATGTTGGATAAGAACTCTATGGCCAATGCATCTATCTGGTTTGATCCCATTACTTTTTTGTTTGTTTTTATTTTACAAGATATCCAGTAGACCTTCCATTGTTAAGTGTAATGAATAAATATTAATAAGCGAATATTCTAATTTGTAGGAGAATTTTGTTTTCAAGTTCTACCTCTGGAATTTATTAAAAAGAAAAGAAAAGAAATATTTGATTCCAAACCATATTTAACTGTGCTAAATGTATTTCTTTGAACTAGATTTTTCTTTTCCCTTAAACTTTTGGGATCTATGGGAAATAGTTGTCCAAAGCTTCATTATATTTCAAACTCAATTTTGAAAAATTTGGAGAGAAGAGGAAGAATTTATTGAAATTTTATCTTACAATTACTGTACTAAAACACTATCAAGAGGCATATATAATTCATATGCCAGAGCCTTGCTAATCAACTCT